GCGTTCATTGTCAAAGCATTTTGCACGGTAGTAGCGGGAAAAACGGTGGTGATAGCAGCTACCAACAAAACAGTTTAGAAGACTTATCACGTTCCGGCCCGTATTTCGACAAGTCGGCCTCGAAGAACGTGACGGCGCTTCTAGGAAAGACGACGTACCTCAATTGTCGTGTAAAAAACTTGGGCAACAAAACGGTGAGTTTCTTTCTTTGTCTCTCTTTTTCTTTTTCTTTTTTTCTTTTTTTTTCTTTTTTTTTTAGTGTTTTTTCTTTTTTTGGTTTTTACTAAATTTATTATATAAAGAATCGTATAAAAGAAAAACGTGCGACGTATACACGATATTTGTGTATCATTTTATTTCGTACTTTTTCAATAAATATTTTTTAGAATATTCTTGTATTCGCATATGAATTATTTAAAGATATTATTTATACATTGAAAAGTCTAAGATCCATATTTTTATTCTATCGAATAAAAAATTTGTGAAACATTTCGAACTCATAAAATAATAATTACAATTGCTCGCGTCACATTTTCTTTCGAAGAACATTTATAGGATATTCTAATGTAAGTAATGTCGCTTTCTTGAATTAAATTCAAACGAATAAATTTTTAAACAAGTTTTTATTTTTAATCACAATCAAATATCGACATGTGCAGAAACGACATTACTTTCCGGTCCACCTAATATATATATATAGGATAATTTATACACGCTTATAAATTATTTCAAAATTTTATCGTCAAACATTTTAATTTCATAAAATAATAATTACAATTACTCGCGTCACGTTTTCTTTCGAAGAACATTTATCGGATATTATGTCTTCGCGTATGAATTATATCAAGATTTTCTTCGTACATTGGAACATCTAAGGATATGATTTTTATTCCTTTAAATTAAAAATTTTCCAAACATTTCAATCTCGTAAAATAATAATTATAATTACTCGTGTCACATTTTCTCCATAGAACATTTATAGAATATTCTGGTATCACGTATAATACAAATAATTCGAACTCGTAAAATAATAATTACAATTGCACGCGTAACATTTATTCCATAGTACATTTGAAAGTTATTCTATTATTACATACGTATTATTTCAAGATTTTATTCATCTAAGATTTTTATTGTTTCATATTAAAAATCTGTAAAATATTTCAAACTCGTAAAATAATGATTATTATTTCTCATGTCAAACTTTCTCCAAGAAACATTTATAAGATATTCTGATATCACGTATGAATTATTTTGAGATGTTATTTATACAGTTAAACATTTAAAAACATCATTTCTATCATTTAAAATTAAATATTTATCGAAGAACTCGAAAATGTGAAATAATAATTACGATTTCTGAAGTCATACTTCCTCAAAAGAACATTTATAGGATATTATAATATCGAGTATGAATTATTTTAAGATTTTAATCGTACATTGGAACTATTCTAGAACGAAATTTCTATTGTTTCAAATTCGAAATTTGTCAAACATCTCGAATACGTAAAATAATAATTAGAATTGCTAGCGTCATACGGTCTGTACTCTATTGCAGGGAGAACATCCTCATGTAATAATTAACCCCTTGAGCAGTAGAAATGTACATTTACGTCATACCTTAACCGGTTTGGTGCAGTACGAGCATACGTAGATAGTCTACACATACGTATATCTACGTGCATACATTTGAAGTTTTGCACCGAAGCCATATTACCATTAATGTATATTTAATCTTGCTATTTTGACAGATTACTATTTGCTCATTCGCTCGTTTCACATAATATCATTCCTTAGTTCTATTCCATTTTCAAAGTTAATTTGTCTGCAGACATCACACCCACCCACACACACACACACATACAGATATATATATATATATATATATATATATTTATTTATATATTGACCATTGAGAAAAGGAATAATAGTTACAAAAAAAAATTGAGAAAAAAGCAACAAAAAAAAAAGACTCATCCATGTTTCGGTTTGTATTTCGACAAGTCAGTTTCAAAGCTACTATGAAAACTCACTACTCAAAAGATTAATATCACATATTCTCGTTTCTAACTCTTCGTGTACCTTTCTGCCTGTAATAAGAACGACGCGAGAGAGGAAAATCCATTCTTTGAAATGACGCAAAGAGCACACGGATTAAGAAGAGAGAAACGTACTGCAGGAAGTTACGAAAGAGAAATTATAATCGACGTCGGAGAAAAAAGAGAAAAAGGAAGAAGAAGATAACGAGAAAGAGAAAGGATAAAGGAAGAAAGAGAGAAGAGATAAGGGTACTAAAAAAATAAAAAGATAAAAAAAATAAAAAATAATAGTAAAAAATTGGAGAACCAAAAAATAGACAAAAACAGAAGAGAGAGAAAGAGAGAGTTAGAGAGAGAGAGAGAGAGAGAGAGAGAGAGAGAAAGAGAAAGAGAAAGAGAAAGAGAAAGAGGCAAAAGAAAGAAAAGGAAGTGAAATTATAGTGACATATTCATTATAAGAAGCATATAAACGTAAATGTTCATCTCCGTATATATATATGTACATATATATATGTAAAGATATATATATATATATCTTTTCTTCTTTTTTTCTCGTGGCAGCACCGAACGCTGCAAAATATCGAGTGTCAATATTTTAAGCGACACAATAGAGCGAGGGAGGACAACCCGCTGTCTCGAGCAAAACCGTAGGGGGTGCATCCATCGCGAAAGTGCACTCGGCCCCTGCCCAACCCTTCAACTCTCGATTCCAATCCCTCTGTCACTCGACAATACCATCGAACGAAGGTACAGGTGCTTTCAATATATAATGTTTGGCCGCTGCGGATCTCGGACAATTATTGCCGCATGTTGCACACGCATGTTGAAATAGAGAGAGAAAGAGGGAAAGAGTTTATATTTTCTCTCTTTCTCTCTCTCTTTCTCTCTCTCTCTCTTTCTCTCTCTCTCTTGCTACGCTTTCACGTTTCGAGTGAAAAAAAAAACTAATGAATAAATGAAGGTAAAAACGCATGGTTAAAACAGCACGTTGATGTGCGTATTTTTTTCCTGTTTCTTTTTATTTATTTTTATTTTTTTTTATTTTTGTCGAAATGTTAAAATTGCAGAAGATGTAAATATGAATTATATAAAATTTTTCCATGTTTCACTCTTTTTTAACATTTTATATATATATATATATAATTAATTACAAAATTATTAGTTCATAAAAAACATAATAATTCATAACAATGTAAAATTTATTTAGAATTTATTTCTTTCATTCATTTTGTAATGTTAAACGGCGATCGTATTGAATATTAAAACGAGTAGTTTTAACTGAGTAAATAAACAGGAATGACTAATTGTAACTACCCTTAAAGATGATTGAAATAGAACGTTAAGCTATCTGCTATTGTGTCTCTTAGTCCATACCAAAATTTGTCTTACTTTGGGCGTGTACGACACTTACGACAACGATAAATCTTATATGACAAGTGACAGGATACTAGATTCCAACCGATAAAAAGCGATTTCTCACGACCTATCTTAATCTTAAAGTTAAATCATATTTCATACAAGTGGTGATACCATGCGGAGAAAGGAGACAAAAAAATAAACAAAAAAATAAAGAGGAAAAGACAGAAAAGAAATGACAGAAAGAAAAAGAAAAGAAAAGAAGATGCTTATCATTTCTTCGCATAAGTAGTTAGATTTTATTATTCTTTTTTTATTTTCTTACTTTTTTTTTCATCTTTTCTTTTTTCTTTTGTTTCAACCATCACAGGGATCTAGTACGAAGTTCAACTCTTCGTTGTAATATTTTTTGTTGTTTTTTTCGAGAATCATATTTCTTTCTTTTTATAATCATTCGGAATAAATGTTCTTTTTTTTTTTCGTTATGAAAGAAACACTGCGTTATCGAAAATGACGAAAAATTTTTGCTTCGACAAAACTCATCTCGTCGAGTAAAAATCTTTCTGATGTTGTCAAATCAAGATCGACGAAGATATTATTAACATTATTATTAAAAAAAATCGATCGAAAAATATAACTCGTAAGATAATCTTTCATAGTAAAGTATCGGAATAATATTTCATCGTCTTTTCCAATGCGATATCTGGGTGTATCGACTGGACATAAACGTTGAAAGAAATATGGGGGACAGCAGAAATAGTGGAATACATAGAGAGATGAACGTTGATATGAGAAAGGAAGTGTGTGTGTGTGTGTGTATGTGGGAGAGAGAGAGAGAGAAAAAGAAAGATAGAGAGAGAAAGAAAAATAGAAATAGAGAATAGAGAAAGGCAGAGAAACAGAAAGAAAGAGCAAAGGAAGTAAGAAGAATGAAAGTCGATTCACATGCGGACAACCGAACACTTTACGGACTTGAGTGCACTTCGATAAGGAAAATACGCAAAAGGAGTTTCATCTTCTATAAGCTTGTTTCGTTTAACTCATAAATCGAGAAAATGGAACCTTTATTCGGCTCGTCCATTTCAATCGATTGTATCAAAATCCGATTTTTACGTTAAATAATAATATGTCAACCTTAAGACTCTTTTAACTTTAAAATCTTTTCTAAAATATAACATCGGTATAGACGATGATTTCCTTAGAATCAAATACAATTGAATTTATTGAGATAAATTGCAAATTAAATACTTTCATTGGTTCAATCTTAGATTCGTCATGTTGAAAACGACGAGTTACGTGATCGAATCAATCGTCTTTCGATGAAAATCTAATTCGACGGAGATTTATCTCTTTCACTTATTTTAAAGTTTATTTATTATTCCATATGATAGATAATTTCTATTGATGATTTGTCTTTATTATTTTTTAAATTATCAAATAAAAATTTTTACGATCGATTATTGTAAAAAAAGAAGAAAAAAGTCAATCATTACGACGATTGAAAAATTTCTATAAGCGATTGATCTATCGATAATAAAAACTCGTCTGTGTTAGCGATTATAGTCTCTCTCTTTCTCTCTCTCTCTTTCTCTCTCTCTCTTTCTCTCTCTTCCTCTCTCTCTCTCTCAATATTGGAATAAAGATAGTAAACAACAAATATAAAATTAAAAATCATTGGGATATTCGCTGCCTCGAAGGCTGAGCAACGTGACAAGCATGAAGATCGAAACAATGGACCTGGCTAGTAGAGAAAAAGAAGAAAGGGAAAAAAACAATGAGAAAGGGAGAGAGAGAGAGAG